AGAGACACAGAGACACAGAGACACAGAGACACAGAGACACAGAGACAGAGAGACAGAGACACAGAGACAGAGACAGAGACAGAGACAGGGGGGGGAGGGAAAACAACAGGGAGAAGATCAAGGCCCGGACATTCGCCACTGGTCCTTGAGAGAACTACGACCGCTGCCGTCTGCCCTGGCCTTGCCAAGAATGACTGGCTACACTGGCCGCATGGGCAAGAGGAAACAAACCCCTGTTCGACGGGCCACAAGGACACTCTTCAGGCACACCTGGGCTGGCACCACGCCAGGCACACTCCGAAAATGCGTCCGGTATTGATTTGCGGTGTGCCACCCGCCTACCAAGGTACAAACCCCAAAGAAACAGGTAAACAACAAGAGTTGGGTGGGAGGCCACCGCATCTAAGTTGGAGGCCATCGCACCCAAGTCCATCGCAGGTAGGCTGGTTTCATGCAAAGCAAGACCCCCCAAAAAAAAACTGCAAAAAATGACAAATTGACAAAGGTCATCACAAGTAGGTTGCGACAAGGTTGGAGGATTTCGCTACAAAGTTGGGTGCCATCATAACGCACGAGCTTTAAAGATGCAAAAACTCAGACCGGTGTAAATCGGCAAACCGGTGAAGACATGTGCAATGAGTGAGTTGGGACGGTCAAACACCCGACACGCGCGATGTTGCAATGCAAACATTTTTGTTCCACCTACAGCCGCACGTTTGGCAGTGAAACCGCGGGGAAAGTCAAGCAAAGGCATGCGGCTGGGGCTGGGCGCATCAGCCAGCGCGAAGACACCAGCCAAGACCGCGCAGGCGAGGGGCGGGGAGGCCCAAGGCCCGCCGAGTTGAGTAGCGCCGAGACGGCGATATTCAAGATCCCCCGATGACCAGCCCCTGCTTCCCATTCTCGTCCACAGCATCGTTGCGTGTCGTAGGGTGGCCCACAAAAACAACCGAGCCCCTCTTTGAGTCCAAGAGTTACACACACTCGAGATATCGCATACTGAGACAGCTTGCCAGGTGTAAATGGAATGGCATCAAGCCAAATCGACATTTCGCAAGGAAAACACTCCAACTCCAACCAAATGCAAAACCGCAGCTTGTTGGAGCTGCAACGGGACTACTTTGTACGCAAAATCAAAACGCAAGTACGACACTGGATCTCCTCAAGACACTGCAGTGAGCTTAGCACTGCAGGCCTGCTCCACTCCTGCCCTCTAAATAGTTATAACAGCATAGACCCCAAACAGCTTCAATACGATTCGATGAAGCCAATAATAGCAAAAAAACATTTTTTGGTACGCCCTACCTCCTCCCCAAGGGCTGTTTGTCTTATCAATGATTTGTCTCGGCATCGAAATCGCCAATTGTTCAAGACTATAAAATGTAACTCCCACGACTTTTGTAAAGAAACAAGGTCGACTGCCAAAAACACTATCGCGGGACCTCAAGAACATGATGACCAGATTTCGTGCGAATGGAGCGCGGCCCCTTCCTTGCAGGTTGAACACACTACATTGTGACGCATGAATGCCACAATTGGCCACACCCTAGTCACAGGGGCAAGCCAAAGCAAACAAAACAAGGACTGCGAATGCAGAGGCCTACTTGTGATGATATATGGGGTCATCAACGGTCCAACGAATGGAAGCGCGCCAGGAACAGGGACTTGCAGGCACTGCTCCAGGAAGTGCCAATACGTGCTAACCACGATGTACAAGTTCCACGTAGAAGTCATCGACACTACTCATTGGCAGTGGGCACGCCTGTTGGCTTGAAAACCGCAAAAGTCGAGAAGCATGGGTTTTTGGGCCCACTTACTTTGGAAATGAAAACCCCGTCACCGTAACTGGCGAGACGTGAACCACAGGGGAAACTGAAAATCAATGCGTGGTGGGCAGCTGTTGAAGTCAAGGCTGACCACAGGGGAGTGGGGCTGGTGGATCTGGCTTTGGCTTCGGCAGGCCGACGGAAGAAACCCGTGGCTGCGGCACTCCGGAAGAGGGGCGGGCGTTTTCGATATTGCTGTACTTGATGACAAGTGTGCCGCAAA